CCAACTGAATTCAGTGTATGCAAGTTTATTCAAAACACACTACTGGGAATGTTGATTCCTTTAAGAAGACAGTTCCCACTTGACTTCAGAAGAAAACTTAAAACACCCATAACAGTTAGAGACTGAAAGAGATCATTCCTTATAGCAGCATTTCCCCAAGTGTCTTTCAGATGACATCTTTTTGCATTACTATGCTAACTGTACATTGTTTTTCACTGAGAAGGTGTATATTCCTCAAATTCAAATTGAGCATGGAATGATTTATTCCTTCAACACAAGGTTTTTGCATTCTAGTCACTTCCACAATGCATTTTATCATGCTTATTCAGTAAGTGACCAATAAAATGCATGAATTTACCCAGGCACCAACACAGGTAGAAATCCCAATTCACTCCTCTTTCTACCAGATATCCCACTTACCTGAATCTTTCATTTTATATAAATTAAATGAAATTTATGAATGAGTCAGACTGAACTGAAGCCACCAACCTGTAGGTTGAGTCTTCCAGATGCTTGAGGCTTCCAAATCCCTGTAAATAGAATTGTTTCTAGTGTTATATTCCTTTTTTGTCCGTAAGCAGACCCCACAAAACATAACCTTCATGTCCTGCGAAACTTACCACTATCATGTAAAATAGAAGTGATTCAATGAGTTTTTGCCAAAAATACAGGTTTAAAGGTGATTGCTAATAGTTCAAATTAAACTACTGATGCTATGATAAAAATGTGCTTTAGATTACTCTGGGGTCAACTCTGAGAGATAGGTATTCATCTCATATGTAATTAAAACATAGGTTCAAATAAGAACCAAATCTATAGTCATTCTTTCTACACTCTTCATAATTACAATATACTCTACATGATTACATTAGTTTCAAACACCTCACTTCTTAGGATTCCTCTTATGACATTTATTGCCTCTGCTATTATGATTTTTATTTTGTTTTTGGAAATAAGCATTTTACCCAATAATCTTAATTCACTCTTCACACGTCTCAGTATTTTCAATGAATAACCACTCTTAAATCATCACACTATAAATACTGCCACAGTTGGAATTCCTTCTGAAGACCATTTGAAGCTGTGCATCAGTATTTTTCCTCAAGTAGAAACTGACATCTTTAAATTTGAATCTACCGAACTGCTGTTTGCAATACTGCTTTAAGTCATTAAATAATTTTAACAGCTTCGGCCCTCCCTGGTGGCGCAGCGGGTTAAAGCACCGCATTGAGAATCTAAAGCCGCTTCTGCATGAGTTCGATTCCCGCCTGCCCCGGAGGTGACCACATGGTGTGGCAGACCTCTCCTGACCCGCCCACTGCTCCCCTCAGCAGTGTACTTCATCCATCTACCTGTTCTGTTCCCGCTCTGTCTCTGGTGAAGCCTCTCACCGCCCCTGAGCCTCTGGCCTATACCCTGGTTCTGTATGCACAAATAAATAAATCTTTAAAAAAAAATAATAATTTTAACAGCTTCATTTATATTGATGTTACCTCTTTTAGAATTTCTTGCAGGTTGCCACAGATAAATCTTCATCTTACCTGTTCTCTAGATTGATGTTGTTTTCAAAATCAATTCTTATTATTTAATTTAAAACAAAATACCTTATTACAGGTTATTAAATCAATAACATTAATGGATTGATCTTGGTAATTCATTTTTTTAAAGATTTAGTTATTTATTCATAGAGAACTGGGGTGCATGCCAGAGATGTGGAGGGTGAGAGGATTCACCAGAGACAGAGTGGGGAGCAGAACAGGCAGATCCACGAAGTACACTGCTGAGGGAAGCAGCGGGCGGGTCAGGAGAGGTCTGCCAGTCTGCCACGCCATGTGGATCTCCTCGGGGCAGGCGGGGATGGAACTCATGTGGAAGTGACTTAAGCTTCTTAGTGTAGTGCTTTAACCCACTGCGCCACCAGGGAGGGCCCGGTAATCCGGTAATTCATTTTTACCATAATTGATTAACCAGTTTAAGCTTGGATTGTTGACCCACAAAGCTTTGCAATTTTTTTTTAGACTGTTCATGGTTTTACAAGCTATTCTAACACATATACCCATATACACAAAAACACAATAATCCAACTATCCTGTGTGTTAAGCTACATCAATTCTATATTCTTTTTCCAAGCAAAATACTATTTTAAAGAATTACTAAAAACAAAATGGCATCCTACTTCTCAAAATGCTTTTACTATTACTTACTAATCAATGAACCTGCAACTAAAAATTAGTGATAGGATTGTGTTATTCATCATCATAGAAATTTGTATTAGAACTTCAAAATACATTAAATATGGGAATATTTCAGTTCCATCTGACTTGGAAAGTTTTATTCTTTTAATATTTATTTAATGTTCAGGAGGTGTCAAGCATCCTTTTATCATTGGGTGAATAAAAAATGCATCTCCTGATTTGGGGGGAACTTTTAACTAATAGAGAAAACAAACAAGTAAAAAGGCAAATGCAAGTAATTTGGAAGCCTTAATTAGTGCACAGAAGTAATTAAGAACACAGAAATGAGGGAAAATATGGTTACTATAAATGGAAAAACAATATTTTGGTCATATAAGAAAGGTAGACAGAAATCAGATCATACAGACTCATGTAGGAACTGGGAAGTTTTCAATTTTATTTAACATGTGAGGTGAAGTCATTTTACTGTTTTAACCATTCTATAGACATGATTATACTATTAGTTTAAAAAAATACATATTACTCTAAATGGTATGGTGGAGAATCACTTCTCTCAGAATGTCCCCTTTTGCATAAACACATAAAATGCTGAAAATACTATCATGCATTTTATTTAAAAGAAAAAATATATATCCCTGAACTTAAAAGAAAGTATGTAGAAAGCAAATTCAAGTGGGACACTACCTGAAAACAAGCACTGGAGGCTTAAATTCCTATATACACTTAAAGACAAGATCACCGAGTAAAGTTCAAATCTGGAAAGGGTGGTCTGTTAACAGAGGGTGGGGAGGGAGCTCAGCCTACTGATCTGGAAAAACAGAAGGGGAACCTAATACCTGCATTATATTTTAAAATAATTGTTTTTAACTCAACTATACAACACTGATAGCTGAGAACTGTACCATCTATCTAGTGGGATCCAAATTTCTATTACAGTTAGAAAATAAAACCTCAAATCTGGTTTATTTTAAAAGGACAAGTTCATTAGGAAATGGAGGAGGAAAAAAAAAAAAGAAGACACTTGTAAACTCAGAGCTGGGCAGAAGCACACCCTTCAATTCGGTTTAAAGCAATAGAAACTTTGAAGACCCCAGGAAACCAGTCTGTAGAGACAGTCTAACAGAACAATGAACTTATGTCACCATAAGATAAAGCCAACAGAAACAACAAACAGAATATTTAAAATCTTGCAAACTGGAAGTTATAATTTTATATAGATGCTATCTTTTACTATAACCTCACTGACACTTTGGCTTTCATTCAAGCCTAAGGGAAAATCTTTTAGAATGCCATTTCTATTTCTAGTAAGATTAGAAATTTTTCAAATTCAAGTGTGCTAAAGAGTTTCTGTATAAACTTCAACATGGGGCATCAAGATGGCTCACTATTTTATATGGATCTAGATGGCTGGTGACTGTAGATGGGTAACTGAATTCACTACTAGATACCTACAGATCCCCATTAACTATGTTAGAGTGAGGTAATCTGTATCTCTACCTTTAAGTGTTGAGTCTATGTTCAAGAATTGCATCCAAAATCTACTCCTTCAAATCATTTTGTAAAGCACAGTAATTTTTGAATGTTAGAGAAAATGAATTCACATCTAACATGTAGTGTCTGTGCACACCCAAATTTCAGAAATGGATTTTAAGTATAAAAACTCAAAGTTTGCAAGGGGATATTTCAAACATCCTTCACCTTCTGATCACCTAAACTTGAAATACTCGTTTCAACTCTTCATGTTTTACTTTATCTACTCCTTTATCTAAATTTATCTAAAAGTGTTGAAAAAGTAAAAATTACAACTGGGATTCTTAAATGTAAACCAAAATAATAAAGCTTAAAACAAAACAAAACAAAAACCCACATTACCACAAAATAGTGGGAAGAGAAATATGAAAAACAAGATAACTGGTCTGTTTTAAATTACCCGGGTCTTTATGTACTTTGGCAATGCTTACACATTTTAACTTTCACAACCTTGTTTAAAAAGAGAAAATGAAAGCCCAGAAAGGTTACGTGTTTAAGGTAAAACCAAAAAAAAAAAAAAAAAAAAAAGAGAGAATCAGGATCCCAGATCCCAGGCAGGAGAAATCCAAGATAAGTTTTCCAATCCTTAAGAGCGGACGTTTTACGTTGTCTTCTCTGTATAGCTGAAGTCATTTTAAAGGGAAAGAGACCAGGACAATCTATGACATAAGTTAGATAAACGAGAACCGTTCAAAACCATCATGGAAACAATCCGCAATCAAGATTAATTCGGGAGACGCTACAGTTTGCGGGAGATATAGCTTTAAACGTCTGTTTCTTTACTATTAATTATACCTCAGTCGTCTTTAATGTTCATTCATAAGTACAGCGAATATTCTCTGCAGGATTATCCCAGTGGGGCTTTACAAGGTAACCCTAAAAGCCTGAAGGACACGCCTCGGGGAACACTAGGCAAAGGGCTCCGTTACCGAGACTTCACAGAAAACCCCCAAGAGGCATATTCGTCTACCTATCTGCCACCAATTCGTGCTCACTTCCTAACTGCCTGTTTATCTTTATCCTACTCCCACTGCTAGTTCCCTCCTTTTTTGTTGACGTCATGAACCCCAGAATAGTCGGAGCCTGGGAAAGAGAAAAGAACCAGATTAATAGAAATAAAAGGCTGTGCGACCATGGTTTCCTACGGAATTTGTCCGGCACTATTTGGGGCAGCCTCGAAGGAAGTAGGACCCAATAGCAAGGGAAAAGAGAGGGACGTGAGTCTAGAAATCGGCACTCTGATTGGTTGGTAGGCCACTGCCGGGAAGAACCCGGATGTGCTTGGGTAGTCGCGTTGGCAGTGTGGGCTTCTGAGGTTTGGGCTGTCTGGGGGTGCTGGCAGCCCGGGCGGATGGCGCAAGATTGGGCCGGCTTCTCTGAGGAGGAGTTGAGACGACTAAAGCAAGCTAAAGGTAACAGGACGTTCCTGCAGTGGTCTAATCTGGGATCTGTTAAAGGGAATGGGCGGAGCTGCAGCTTTTGGGGGTGAAAAGGGGCGGGGAAGAGGGTAATGTGTTAGAAAGAGCTCTAACTGGGAGGACAGCATTGAGGGGGCTCCGTAGGTGGATGTACTGGGTCTGGGGCGGTAAGGGACAAGCTCCGGAGACTGGGATCTACTTTAGAAAAGAGGATTCGGAAGTCTTTTACAGGAATTTGGTGGTGGTGGTGTTTTTTGTTTTTGTTTTTTTTTCCTGTGAATGAAATGGGACTTAAGAGAGGACGTGAGCTTGCACACTAGCTGGTCACCTATAGGAAGGACTGCTGCATTTATAGTTGGAGATTGGGACTCAGGAAGGAGGAAGGACACACACTGTATTGAGATTGGGATTTTATAGGAGCAGGCAATGGGGGTAAGGGGAACACAGTAATCTGAATAAATGCAAAAAAAAAAAATGAGCTTTTCATCGTACATCTGGAGTCTTGTATTCACTTCTGGTTGCCAGATGATTTTTACAGTTCTTTCCAACTCTTGAGTTTTTGCAGACTAAAAGGGTCCTTGAGAAGTTACATTGGAAAAATATATATACATGTATAAATATACATGTGCATAAATACACATACATATACTGACTTTTGCATAAGCTAAAATTTTGTCTTCCCCTCTAGCTTTTTAGAATAATCATTGACTGAATTTTAATTATTTTCTTGTATTTCATGAAGGAATTTAGCTTGTTGGTATGTGATAGCAAATTCTTGGCGATACAAGCTATATTGTTTGTGATTGAAAATTTATGAAGAGCTCTATGGTGATCTGATAATGCAAATTTATACCACTCTTGATACTGTAACTTGTAGACTTTAGGAGAAAAATAAGCCCTTCTATGCCTTTTATTAGGATTTGTGAGAAAATTGGTTGTTACTCAGATAAATTTAACGCATTTTTATTATAGATAAGAGGATAATTTGGAACTGACCAGTGGAAAAGGAAGTGAATTAGTAACAGAGGGCCAGTGTAGGTTGATTAGATTAAAAAAATCTTGGCTGATCTACAGGCCTTTAAAACTATTAATAAAAGTTATATATAACATGTAATTAACTGACTAGTTTCTTTTAGACTGTTTTTAACACCCATTCACTTATTGAGAGGTATGGAGTTACAAGTACCTAGTTTCTGGTCTCACCTGGTTACAGATTACAGCTTCTGTATTAGGAATGCTAAGATGAATGATAATCATTCCTGCCTTGAAAAGAGTTCATAGTGTACAGGGGAAACAGACTATAATACAGTGTAATAGTAGGTGTTGTCCTGGTAGGAGTTGGGAAGGTTTCATAGAAATTATCTGTGTCTGCAGAGGTGAGTTTGCCAGAAGGAAGAAGATATAATGTAGAACTCTAACTTAAATAATACATTCATTATGGTGAAGTGTATTTCTAAATATCTCTGCAATTTGAGAAAGATTTATGTATTTTATCTAAGCTGTTTGTGAACCTTAATTTCAAGTTCTGTCATTTCATGATGAAATGTTAGAGCATAGACACCAGTTTACTAGCCTGTCACCAACTTGAGGACAGAGAAAACATCTTAGCATCTTTGTATACTCAGAGCTAAATCCAGAGATTGACATATAGATCCCCCCCCACTTAGCCTCAAAGTCTTTTTGCTTTGGATTTCTCATTTGTCTTTTAATTTTGAAGACTCCTGCCTGTATGGCAGTCTTAAAAATATGAAGATGGTGTTGGTTACCAGGAAATATAAGGACTATAGCTGCATGTGTGTGTGTGTGTGTGTGTGTGTATATATATACATATATATGTGTGTGTGTATATATGTGTGTGTGATAATGTATATGTATAATGTATATATATATATAACTTTCATAAGTGTAATACATGAAAAGAACAAGTTGCAAACAAGTATTTACAGTCTGATACTTTTATATAAGGCCAAAATCATACAAAGCAGATACATTCTTTTAGGAATGTAGGTAAAGAAAAGCAAAGGAATGAGACAAGGCAGGGGAGTGGAGTGGAATATTACCAAGGAGGGAAAGTACATACTGAATTTCAAAGATATTGGTAGCATACCTTTATAGGTGATTGTGCTCCATGTATTTATTACATAATGTAATACTAGTTCATTCTAGTAGTAGCGGACACTTGAGAATCATGCATTGGCAGTTAAATGCTACTGGTAAATGACAGGTGTTGCTTCCACTAGTATTTTCATTTAACAAAAGCAAGTTATATGACTTGGAGGACAAAAAGAAAAATATCATGTGTGTTCAAAAGAAGGAATGATGCATCTATCTTTGAATAGTATTTGTGTCTATTATAGTTATGTTTCATTTAACTCTATTGTTATTTTTTACAGGTTGGATGTTTGTGTGTGTATACACATATGTATGTATTATTTGTTATAAAATAATCTTATGAAAAAATGGGAAAAAAGTACAGCTATAATGCTGTCAATTCTAGTTAAAATATTCTTAAGAGTTCTTTATTATTGATATGATTTCTTTGCCAGTTGTGTTATATTTTCTCAGTTTATTTTTCTTTTTAACTTTTATCTTTTGATGAACACAGTATTTAATACCTTCAAATTCATTATTCCTTCAATAGTCAACATTTTCTGTGTCTTTAAGAAATTAGCGCACAAAATACTTAGACAATGCTATAAGATCTAAAATATATTAATCTTCATTTTTCAACTAAGAGTCTTATAAACACATTTTCATGTAGTAAAATCTGCTATAGTTCATAACAAAAATGATTTTTAAGAAGAATGGTAAAGGATTGGTTGGTTGAAATTTGTTTTTAATTCATTCAGAGAATATTTAGTTTATTTCTATATGGTGTGAGATATCCATCAGATTATATTTAATCATGTGAGTAACCATTTTTCCCCATTATTTTGAATGGCCTCACTTTTTGCTGTGTTAGCTCTCTCATACACTAGTGTTGCATGTTTGAGTCTGTTTCTAGGTTCTTTATTCTATTAGTCATTATTCCTGATATCTAATAGTCTGGACCCTAATCTTTTTCTTGGGAATTTCCTTTCTATTCTTGAATCTTAATAGTTTTGCCAAATTTTAATCCAATTGGATTTTGATTTGAATTGCATTTTACCTTTAAATCAATTTGGGGACATTTGACAACATCACATTTACAATACCATATTGTTTTGATATTCTTTAATAACTTTTAATAAAAATTTGGGGTTTTTTCTGTAGAAATTTGAACATCCTTTTGTTAGATTTCATTCCATTGATAATTTCTGGTTTTGAAATACATTCTCTTTAATTTTATTTTTCATTGCTGCTGCTGATATATGAAAAATGCCAACAAGACAAGAGAAAAATAAAGATATAAACAGCTGTTTTTTAGGAAAGGAGATATGAAAAGATGCTTATCACCACCAATGAACAGAGAATTGCAAATCAAGAGCACAGTGAAATAATGACCTGATAGTCTCATATATTGACACATTGCTAGAGGGAATACACTTTGGAAATGAAATGGACATTTCCCTTAAACTTGTGACACAATTGTTCTTTGATAATATCTCTGGCAAAATCTTATGCATATACGAGAACAAATAATAGCAATGTTCTCAGAAGCAAAAACCTGGAACCAGCATAAATGTCTTATCAGTGGAAGAGCAATAGACTGATTTATTTAGACAGTGTATTATTATACCACATTAAAAAATGAATGACACGGTGACATGAACAATATGTATATATTGGCAATATCTTAAGTTTCAAAAAGATATATAGCGTGATACCCTTTCCATGGAACTAAAAAATGAAGTTTTAGGAATATTTGTAGATGCACTATCAGATAAAAACTGAGAGATGGGATGGTCAGTATGTGATTCAAGTGATGGCTGTCTTAGGTGGAGGGTGCAGGACTTAAATAAATGTTATAGAGCAGAGATCACAAACTCATATAGTTTGTTGGCTTAATTTAACCCAAAATGTTTTTGATATCATTTAAAAAATTTTCTAATCTTTCAATTTGTTTATTAAATCAATAGTGGGGGTAATTATTGGTGGTATTTAGCAAGTTGTTCTAGTTCATTTCTCTTGTCAGTAGATAACTGCCTCTGTTTGGGGGTATGACCAAGTGCTAATTCAGTATGAATTGTAAGCAGAATTATGTCAGAGCAAGTAATTGCTGTAGCATGACCTTCATGAACCCTCTCTTCTCCTGCCATGGGGTTGGCAACACATTAAAGGTCAGACTGGAGCCTTGAGAAATTGATCAGCTAAACTCTGCTGGCTCTCAGTTGGCATATCATACTAATGAAAAGTAAATTTTTGTTGTTTAAAACCACTAAGATCTAGATCTTTTGCCTCAGCAACATAACAATCTATGTTTTCTTACTTGATTTAATTCCTTACATTTAAAAATCAGTATATTTACATACATTTTGTAAATGTAGATGTAATGGTATAAATGATTTTTTATAGTGAAAATCATGTCTGGTAGCACCATTAATTTTTTAATGAAAGCAGCCATTTTTAATCGCTAAGATGACTATGGATTACCCCCTTGAAACTAGACTTTTCCTCTCCAGTTTACCACAGAATCTTTGATACTTCAGCCCAAATATAAGTATACAAAACTGTTTCTTTTTACCAGTTTTTTTTCAAAAGGACACTAATTTTTAAAAAGCATTTGCATGTATACAGCATCAGTGAGAGAAAGATATGTAGATTTCCCCTAAACACCTGCACATAATTTAGCTACCTCCTTTATCAGCATCCTCCACTAGAGTGACTACAACTGATGAATCTACACTGATAACATCATCATTCACCCCCCAAATATTGTACTTTTGGGTTCTTCCTTTACATTTTATTTTCAATGAATAAATGACATATTATCTGTCACTAAGGAAATATATATAGTATTTTCACTGCCTGAAAAATCATCTGTTCCCTTTTATGCTCTTATCTTTTTGGGGGACCAAGGGTCCTTTAAGGTCTTTAGCCTACGGTTGTATAATCAGGTTGGTTATTTTCTTACTGTATAATTTTAAGAATTCTTGCTGTATTTTAGGTCATACTTCTTTAACAGTTATGTCTGTTGGAAATACTTTCTCCCACCTGCACCTTGACTTCTTATTCCTTTGACATTGTCTAATGTAGAGCAGAAGACATGAATTGAATTGGGTGGTGCCTTTCATATTGTATTGGGGACCCTTGGTCTCCCAAAAAGATAGATAGCATAAAAAAGTAATGATGATTTTTCAGGCAGTGAAAATATTATATTTCCTTAGTGATAGGTATATGTTATTTATCTATAGAAGATAGAACAGCAGTACAATACATTGTTATATATAAGGTTATCTAGGTTCTCTCCTTTGTTATCTTGTAGGAGTTTTTTAGTTTTGTAAGTTTTACATTTAAGTATGGAATCTATTTCCAGTTAATTTTTTTTTTTGAAGGGTATGTTGCGTCTGGAGTCTTTTTTTTAAATATGAGTGCCCAGTTATTCCAATACTATGTATTGCTTTTGCCTTCACTCCTTTGTCAAAGGATTTGACTGGGTCTATTTCTATATGCTTTTCTTTACATTTCTCATTGAATCATCATACCACACCTATGAGTTAAGTAGAGGTGAAATTTCAGCGACTTTGACAGATGAAAAAACTGAAGTATGGAATAATTAATTGACTTGCCTACAGGTACTGAAAAGGACAAAAGAAGCATTGGAATTGTGGACTCCAACACTTTTAATTCTCCTTTGGGAATTTTCAATAATAAGGTGCTTGTTTCAAAGGCCAATATGCAGATTTTAAAGGTCCTATTTGAGTTCATTTACAAGGGCTTGTCATAATTTCATTTCCCAGACATTTTGTAAAGAATACCATTTATAGATCCTAATGAGTATGTTATGAATATGAGTCAAATTCTCTAATTGTCTGCCTTACAATGTCAATATTGGCATGGTTAGTCCAGAAAGTATAATAGAACTATTATTATTTAGTTTATTATGCTTTATAAAAAATTTTCTTCCAGTTTTATCTTCCTCTATTGCCTTGTTCAGATTACTATTAAAATTAACTTGCATGCATGATTAAAGGCTAATTAGACTTTGGGGAACACAATCTTGGACTGTTCTGGAAGATGAAAGAAAACAATTTAGGGTTAACTGCTGTTCCTAGAAATAAGGAACTTCTTTCAGTTATGTCTGTCTGGCATATACCTATATATCAGATCACCCCAAAATCTGTTAAAATTTAAGAAAAGTAAAACCCTTTTGAATATTTAACTACCATTGTATTTCAGGAGAGTAAAATGAGTGATAAAATGTTTTAAGAGAATTTCAAAGAAATTAAGGGAATTTAATTGTCTACCTATTTTTGGTCAAATTAATTGGTTCTTTTAGTAATTAGCAAATGAAATTGAAGAAGAAACCTTACTTTGTATCCTGAGGCCTAACTCACAGATGTTAACTTTCTTGAAGAGACATTGAACACTAGGACAGTTTGTGGTGTAGTGTGAGAGGTGAACTGTTTGCAAGTCTTCAGGAAAATGACTGGTTTTACTTGGGCTTTTAAATAGAGAAGAAGAGGATAACTGTGTAAACAGTTTTTCAAGTTTAATGTCAATGCATTTTTTTTAAGAAAGATTATAGTAATTTTTTGGTCACAAAGAAGTGTTCTCCATTCTCTATGTAGATATATGTGAACCACAAAGGCGTCTTCCTGTGAAAAAAAGTCGACAACAGCTTCTGCGAGAAAAAGCCCTGCAAGATCAAAGCCAAAAACTTGGACTTAAGGATGGATCATCCTCATTACCTCCAGAGCAACTGCTTTCTCCACCAAAACAGAGATTTAATCATCAAAACACACATTCTTCTTCCCCTATGTGCCCTAGTCCTCTTATGCCTACCTCTCCTATTGCTGATGGACAATCACAAAGTGTTAAAAATCATTCTGAGGAACTGGAACTTAAGAATTCCCACGATGGTCACAGAAATGCTGAGGTGCTACCTCCAAAGCCAGATTGCAGTTTGGATAAAAAGAAAGTGGAATTGTTAGTAAGTCTATATATCCATGAGATTTTTCCTCAGCCTACCTTTTTTCCCCATTGAGCTTTAAAGAAATTCAGTGTTAACATTTTCTGTTTCATGTTTAACCTAGAAATGTGATAAGTAAACTGTTGAAAAGCTGCTTCCATCTAAATAGGTTAATCCAGGCCACATTAGGATTCAGCTTGCTTTATGTCATTTAGTGTTCCCAATAGCATTAGTGCTTGTTCATGATTTTCACCTTACAGATGTGATCTCTTGGCTAAGAAAAGGTATTATTTTCCTAAAATTAATATACGGCTAATGAGTAGTTTAGTTGGGGTTCACATAAAAGGCTCTCTGATCCAAAGTTTGTGCCCTTTAAACTCTCAGAAACCATTCCTATATGAATAGAATCTCCAAATTGAAACCTTCCAGATTTCATTTCCAGTTGACCCGGAAAAGGATACTTCTGAGGAGGTGAAAGGAAAGAGTGTAGGAAATTGAAGGGGCTTATTGCATCTTTTGATTTCTTTTTACTCATTATTTAATGTGTTTGTATTAGAAACCACATTCATGTGGGTATTGCCACTGTATGATGTATGAATTTTTAGAACTTTTTTATTTTATAGTTTGTTCTTATATACACTCTATTTGTGTCCTGATTTACCAGTGATAAATGAGAAAGGATGACATTTTGTTTATCTTTTCTATTTTCTTAGTCTTTTTTTTTTACTGCCTTATATTTCTTCTACTGTTAGATATGTTTCCAGTCTGCTCATTCAAATTCTTTATTATGTGTTTTAAAGTATTTCCTGCCCACTAGAGGTTGTATTTACAACCAATTATTTTGTAGAGATATAAAACTACATGAATAATGACAATAATGTACAAATTCATTGTACAGATGTATGCCTCTAAATATCTTTCAGTGTCAATATATAAGTCTCAGAAGCCTGAGATAGTGCAAGGGCCTCTCTGGTGGCGCAAAGGGTTAAGTCTCAGCAACCTGCAGCCACAGCACATGAGTTCTATCCCCGGCCATGGATCTGATGCACATGGTGCAACAGCCCTTTCCTGGCTCACCAACTTCTCTCCTCAGCAGTGTTGATTTCAGTAGATCAGTAGATCTGCCTTTTTTGCTCCCTACTCTGTCTCTGGTGAATCCTCTCATCCTCCCCTCACCCCTACATCTCTGGTCTGTACCCCAGCTCTTGTATGCATAAATAAATGAAATCTTTTTTCAAAAATAACGAGCTATACAATTTAGATTTTATATCATTAGGAAGTTGTTCTGTATTATAGAAGATATATTCCCAGGAACCTTTAATGAAAATGAGAAATTCTGTGGTTATATGAAGTGGAAAGGAAAGCTGTATTCTAGAAAATGTTCAGAGATGACATTTCCTCTGCTTTGGAATAAGCAAAAGATTGCCAGAGAGTATTAGAAAATTATGCAGGAATTGAAGAAAGACTTGGAAGCAGAAAGTAACTGCCTAAGGGATTTCCTGATGCCACAGTATACCCACACTGAAGGACCTCTGAAGGAGAGATGCTGTGATTAAAGTAATGGCTAGAGAAAGTTCAGGTATAGTTGCAGATCATTGGATAGGATGTTAGGTGAGCTGGAACTAAGGCATCTAGGGAAGAAATGTCTGTCTAGTCAAAATGAGAAAGAGCCAATGCTAACAGAAAAGTATATGCTCTAAAAATGGAGAGAAAAACTAATTTTGGAGTGGAGATAGAGCTTTTTAATAGTCACTAAGAAATGACAAGAATGAATACTTTGTAATTACCTTCGAGTTGGCATCAAGTTCACGAATTTACAGAAATTTTAATATAATTTCAGGATTTGACAGATTGGAAGACAACTTGTTTTTTCAAATCTTTAAAGTTTTTCTAGTTCATCATTTGAGTCATAACTCGGTGTTTCACTCAGTTTAAAACTGTTTAAGAACTGGAAAGAAGTGAGCATCTTAAAAGGAAATGAATGAACTAAACAGTGGTTATTGTCCTAAGGGTGTTATGTGGTAGAGACTTTAATTATAGAAAACTTTAAAAATTATAACATGACATTAGCTACAAACCAATTTATTTTGTTCTCCATTTTGCATATAATACATAATTAACTTACACAGGGCTCTTTGTACTCCAGAAAAAAAAAAATGCCACAGTTCTCTGGCTTCCAGTTTGTGGGTTCTTAGATTATATACATATAATGGATTTCAAAGGGCCAATTTATATAAGCCTTCTTTACTTCAGATCATAGTCTTTGTTCGTATTAGAACAAAATAATGAGCTGCAGATGGGTCCCTTTTAAGAGGACTTTTGAAAGAAAATATACATAATCTGGTTGATTAAATTTTATACTTACAGGGACTGGGACTATAAGGTGTGGGATGGGATTTCATAAACTCACTTTTATACTTTTTTTGCTCCGTAGGCAAGAAAAATCTCGTTGGGAAGTCCTCCAACAAGAACAGCGACTAATGGAAGAGAAAAATAAACGTAAGAAAGCTCTTTTGGCTAAAGCTATTGCAGAAAGGTGAGGCTTCTGAATCAGGAGAGGTTGTTTGTAACCTGCATTCAGTTCTGTCATGGTACATATTTATTTCACCATGTCTGTCTAGTAAGCTGGCTTTCTGTCTACCACTATTGCTTTTAAGACTGCACAAGTTATGATACTGAAATTCAATGTTAATGTATTAAGGATGACCATTATGCATGGTCCACAATGAATGTATGAGTACAGATATAGTGAAAACTTAAAGATCAGTATTAGTGTTTTCAGTGTTAACCATCTGCACATTAATTGGGAGCAGTAAATAGCTATTAATATAAGTAATTGGCAACAAATGTAGGTTTTAATTTTGACCTTAAGCCTTTATCATTTGACGTGTAGATAACAGTAGATTATTGTACAGAAGTTATTTAATATTCTACAAATCTTGTGTTTAATGTAGACGTTTTTCTTAAATCATTTGCCCTTTTCCCACTGATAAAAGATACATATTATAATTTAACCTCTTATTGATGACTCACATTCTCTGCTATAAGCACTGTCCCATATTGTATATGGGTTATTTTTTCTCTCACCTACCATGTGACTGTCAGCCTCAAGCAGCAACATTCTCATATGGGCCACCTTTCCTATTGCCTCTCTTCCTCCCTTTTCGTTTGTAGTTTCTAAGCTATGGTTGCACTTAGTCAATCATAATGACGAAGAATAGTGGGACCTAAGTGTAAACAAGTATTCTGTGGCATTTTGTTTTTAGTTTTCCAGAAAAGTGACAAAACTCTTACTGTTTGAAGATGCCATATGTATTAGAAAGGAAGAGGTAGACAGAAAGTCAAGTGAGTATTAGTAATTCAGAATTTTAGCTATCAAATACATATTTGAAAGGGATTTTCTTTCCTGCTGGCACACTTTGATCTTTTTTGTAAAATGGGAAATAATATAGCATACTGAATAAACTGTTTTAGGGGAAAAATAACATATAAAGGAGCTGTGCCCTCTTTCTTTTTCCCCCCGTATGTGATTTTTGAAAAGCATTTTAGTTACTTTCAATTTAAAAGAGGTTGGGGAGTTTTGTTTATTGGAGATTTTACAAAACTGTGTCAGTTCAGCACTTGTTTGTGTGCTTTTGATGTAAGACAGGAAGCACTAAACATGGGAGTATAAGTTCCCTTTACACTTTGTGTTTTTAAATTTTGGGAATAGATACCAAATAGTGAAATTACTGGTTTATTGGCAGATCGACGTTTAATGTTTTGAGTCACCTTTATACTTCTTTCCATAGGGGTTGGACCAGTTTGTATTCCCAGCAGCAGTGAAGGAGGGTTCCCTGTTCCCTATTTTTTTACCAGCCCATGTTTCTAGTCTTTTCGATTTGGTTTATTCTCACAAGCATAAAATGGCATCTCATTGTGGTCTTGATTTGCATTTCTCTAATAATAAGTGATTGTGAACATTTTTTTCATGTGTCTACTGGCAGTTTTAATGTCTTTGGAGAGGTATCTGTTTAGTTCTTCTGTCTGTTTTTTGATTAGGCTGTTTTGTTTGATCGCATTTTATGACTTCTTTGTATATCTTTGCTATTAGTCCTTTCTCAGTTACATGGTATGCAAATATTTTCACCCACTGAGAGTTGGTGTTGGGTGCACTAAGCTCGTACTACCTGATGGGGGTGTTCCAATATTATCTTAGCTAAAAACAAATAAATTTTAACAAAGACAGGAAGCACCAATAAAGATAGGTGCATAAAGAAATGTAACCTGATGGGATTATTAATAAGTGGATAATGAAGTACTTGTAGTAAAAGGGCCATACTATTCATTTTGTAGGCAGAAAACAAGTGTAAATTCAAGGATTAAAAATTGGGAGAATTTAGGTTATAATATAGTGGTTTTATGGGGAGTTTGAGTTTCCCACAAGAATATGCATGAAATTTTGAAATGAGTGAAATTATGATTAAAGGTTTGCTTTTGGATTTGCTTATTCTGTTTCTTAAGTGTATATTATATTTGGTATTGGTAAGGGAACTGAGAGATAATGAGATTTGGATATGCTTTTAAATAGGGGACAACAGAGTATTTGGTTTTGAGCCTCAGAAGGAATTTTGAGGTTTGTAGTTTTGCTTGAACAATATAGGAATCAAAACAGTTAAGTTTTGGGACATTAGTCCTGAGAGAGTTAAATACCAAATACATATTTTCAGACATATAAAGAAATGGTGTTTATTTAATATAGGTCTCTGTTCTTGAGGTCTACAAGTATCAAAAAAGTGAAAACAGACTTAAGCTTGAAATTTAGAAAGCTGTGTTAGATCTTCTAATGTTAAAAAAAATACAGAAATATTCTTTTGGTGCTTATTTTTGCCCTGTGGAATGAATATAACCCATGAGAACTATTCATTAGTAGTTTGTTTTAAAAATCTTACTTTTCTCTTGCATATGAAATAATATACTAATAGAAAATATGGAAAAATAGGGAGAAAGCTTAAATGCAGTCTTATAGATAGATTAAGATAAAGCATTTGCTTTGGTTTCAGCTTTTCTGATTTTTTCCCCTCATTTTAAAAACAGCATACATTATAATCATGTTGTATATACAGTAGCTTTTTCCCCCTCATTGTGTATGGATGTGTGATTTAAAATATTCTTATTTCCCCACTCATGTTCCTGATTTTCTAGATCTAAAAGAACTCAGGCAGAGACCATGAAACTAAAGCGGATCCAGAAGGAGTTACAGGCTTTAGATGACATGGTGTCAGCTGACATAGGAATCCTCAGGAACCGCATTGATCAAGCCAGCCTGGACTATTCAAATGCTCGGTGAGTTGAAATTTGAACAAGGTGTCCAATTTAATGAATGTATCTTGTCAGGTGGTTCAGAAACCTATATATAACATCATGTAAATGTCCAAATAATCCCACTAAGAGCTGTAATTATTATTGTTTGGTACTAAATCAAGTCTACCTTTAAATATAACCTTATCAGCTTGTTGTATTTCTTGCATATATATTTACATTTTACTCTGCTAAACTATCCACTATTGGCCCTCCCTGGTGGCGCAGCAGGTTAAAGCACTGCACTAAAAAGCTGAAACCACTTCTGCATGAGTTCGATTCCCGCTTGCCCCGGAGGTGACCACATGGTGTGGCAGACCTCTCCTGACCCACCCACTGCTCCCCTCAGCAGTGTACTTCGTTGATCTGCCTGTTCTGCTCCCCACTCTGTCTCTGGTGAAGTTGTTTGCCACCCCTGAGTCTCTGGCCTGTACCCCAGTTCTGTATGCACAAAATAAATAAATCTTTAAAAAAATAAAATAAAATAAACTATCCACTATTTAGGATTTGTAACTCTTAAGTATCTGAATGACTTGCCCTAAAACTACTTTATTCTGACACCAAATCTGTGCTCTCGCTAACAAGGAATTTGGGCTGAGATGGTCCTATAGGATTGAAGCCATACAATTTTCATAAAAGTAGATGTAGTTTATTTTAGAACCTTTGTTTTTTTTTTTTTTTAAAGCCACTCCGTCTTGAAACCTTGAAGTTTTTCTTATTTTTCTTTTTGATTATACTCAGTGTAAAGTGGTTGCTATCATGTGTTTCCTTGGTTTCAACCATTGGCATTTTTTTTAGTAGAAAAAATCATCATGGGGTATTTTTACAATGAACTAACACATGTAAAGAATTACATGAACTTTGCAAACAGATAAAAGGGCAAAAAATTAAGTCCAATTTCAGGGTTTTCAGTCCTTTTAACATTTCTTTAATCATCCTGTTTTGTCTTTTTTCACAAGGGAATGCTGTGTTAATGATTCAGTTTTGCATCTTTCTCTGTAACACTAGAAATCAATCATAATGCCTCATTAGTCCAGGGTAAACCACAGCATCAGAATGTTTATATAACAATTTAATAAAGCGGAAATGGCTTGATTGTGGTTTTTAATTCACTGTTTATTATTTAAGAAGGAGGCTGTGGTTGTCCTTGTGAGTTTTGTAATTGTTGTTTGACCATATGCTGTTAGACTTAATGGGTTGCCTTTATTAATTAACTGCCTAAATCAATGCCATCAGTAGCTGATAGCTGGAAGTTCCAGATTTCTATTAATAAGGTCATTAAGTAGGTAACCAAGTTTAACCTAAGCCTAGATTTTCATCACATTTTGTTTTCTGTTAAATTTATTAGAGGAACATTTTTTATGCCTTTATAGCCTTTTACAGGAATAATTCACATTAATCTGATTAGTTGAACAGAAAAAATCAACTGATACTGTTTTAACTTTGTCCTAAAAGAAGCCAAAGAAAGATACCTTTGTCAGTTGAACATTATGCAATAAATGTCAGTTTTAGTATTCAAAAAACACTAAGGGAAGATTACTAAAGGTGAACACATCCCATAATTTCTATCGTTTCTACATATAAGGCTACTTTTAAAAACCTGAGCTCTTAAGTCAAAGAGACACATAGACAGTGACTAGAACTAGGATTACTGCTTGTTCATAAGATTAAAAATATTTCCTAAATTTATGTTTATAGTTGATGAGAAATTGTAGGTTGGTAATACAGTGTCATAGTCTAGGTTTCTATGAAAGGTAGTCCCCGGCAGTCAGGTTCTATGGGAGATTGCCTTAATTTTTAAAAAATAAAAATATCTTAGTTTTACAGTGATATATCCACAGAAGGTCTGGGACAGAGAATAGGCTAAAATTGACTTTAAAATTGGCTTCTGTAGTGCACTGTCACAGTCAGCACATCTGAGGGGATCTGCAACATAAATTAGGCAACTTGAGAGAGTTATTGTTACTGCTGTTGTTGTTCACAGCTGTGATCACAAAGCTGCCATGTGCCAGGCAGGCCAGCTTAGAAATGGAGGAGGGATGGCATGTAGGACAGTTTTTAACCCTCCACATGTTAAAGAAACAGTTGTTACCGTATATATATATATATATACACACATACATACACATATGCACATACACATATAAGTGTTTTGTGAATAATTTATAAAAGGGGTGTGGGAAAAATTTATTAAAAATGTTAAGAATGTAAGTATGGCAAATCTCTTTATATAAGTGATATCTTACTCCAAGCATAAAAAAACTAAGACGATGGTTATATCTTTGCAAAATCTTGGGATAGTTTAGGTACTTGTAAATGCTCTTCCTATTGAAATTATTAACTATGACAATAGGTTTCTCTTTATGCTTAAAAATATTCTTTTTCACTCACTGAGTCTTTAAGAAAATTTAAAATGCATTTCTTTGAATCCTCATACTCTTTGAGATTTCACTTATGTGATCAGTTTCACTATTTAGATATGCGATTGTCTGCATTTATAATGATTTACCAAGGCAGCCAGAACAAATTAGTACACACTCTGTGCCTTAAAACAACAGGAATTTATTCTTACATATCTGGTCATTAGAAGTCTAAAACAAGATGTTGATTTCTTTTTAGAGATTTTTTGAAAGAATCCCTCCCTTGTGTCATCGAGCTTTTGATGGCAGTAGACTTTCCATGGCTTGTGGTTGTACCATTCAGTAGTCATGTTGCTTCCTCCTCTTCACTCTCAGAACATCTCTGCCTCGTTCTTAAACAGATAGATATAATTATATCTAGGGCCTAAATGGATAATCCAGGATAAACTCCTCTCAAAATGCTTAGCTTAATCATGTCTCTTGCCATAAGTTAATAGTCACAGGTTCTGGGGAGTACATAGTGAACCTTTTTGGGAGGTTGTTTTTTAGCCTACCTCAATATTCATTTTTTAACTTTTCTGATAAATGCAAAATATCTGTATCTCTCAGTTTTCTCTCTTTTGTCATTATGGATAGATACATAGTAATTCTTTTTTTTTTTTAAATTTATTTATTTATCCATACAGAATTGGGGTACAGGCCAGCAGTGCAGGGGCGGTGAGAGGATTC